ATAAAAGTCTTCAAACATTTGTTTTCCTGCCTTCACAATAAAAGTCTTCAAACAGTTCTTCTTCCTGCCTTCACAATAAAAGTCTTCAAACATTTCTTCTTCCTGCCTTCACAATAAAAGCCTTCCTGGTATAAGATATCACAGCAGCACCATCTTCCAGGTTCGGATCAGCTGAGACCAGGTTTCAGGTTTTAGTTGTAGTTTTTTTTTTTTTTTGGCATCGAAACATTAAAAGCAGCAGTTTGTTTTATTTCTGGACATTCAGAGATGAGAGGATGAAAAAAGTCTGTTTCCATGGCAACATGTGAGTGGTTCCTCTGTGGGGTTCTGGTTCTGGTTCTGGACTGATGGGCTGGTTTTGGAGGTAGAGTCAGGCGGACCGTGCTCGTCGTGCAAAAAGAAAGAAAGATGATCCGGTGAGGTGAGACAGGTTCAGGTGCTTCAGGGACCGGACTCCACGGTGAGGTGAAGACCGTGTCATTGTGCTGGTTCTGGTTCTGGTTCTGGTGATCAGGACTTGAGTATCACTGGGAACAGACAGGGAGGTTCTATTGGACAGGTTGTTTTCAGGAGACCAGGACCRGTTCCAGCTGATACTTACGTCCCCAGTTCAGGGCGATGGCGGCGGCGATGATGGCGATCCCTCCTAAGATGGAGACGATGGACAGAACCATGGCGTTCCGACCCAGACGCCGTGCTCCGTCCACATTGCCTTGCTGCAGACTGTTCCTGGACTGAACAGAACAGAACCATTTAAAGAACTGGACGGAGGAGTCCAGGTCCCAGTGGATCTGGTGGACCGTACCATGACGGAGAAGGTTAGGGCCACGATGTTGATGGGGACCAGAGGACAGAAGCAGGACAGGATGGCCAGGATCAGGTAGTCTCTGGGTTTGGATCCGTCCGCGGCGCCCTCTGTGATGGTGCTGGGCTGGCGGGTCAGCGAGGGCCTGGGGGAGCCCGCCGCCAACGAGCCGGACCGGCTGCCCAAGCGAGGCCGGCCGTTAACGTGGCCGCCTGGCTTGGCGTGGAGCTTGGGCGACACGGAGGACGCCGCGGGGGACGAGTCGGCCATGGGAGGAGCCACACCGTTACCTGCAAGACAAGAAGTGCAGCTGGAGACCTGGACCTTCAGGACCACCTCCAGGTGAGACAGTCTGAACACAGAGGACAAAGTTCTACAGAGGGACTCACTGGTCTCTGAGGTCTCACTGATCACAGTCAGGTGGTCCATCGACCTGTCCTCTGCTGCACCTGCAGGAGGACAGGCAGCGTCTGATTGGACAGCTTCTCCATCAGGCTGCGTGCTGATTGGCTGGTCTGGTTGCTGAGGTTCCTCCATGCTGTTGGGCTGAGGGACAGAGCTGGGACTGGTGGACATTGGACTGGACCGGTCAAACAAAACCTGAAGAGGAGCGGAGTCTGTCCGTCTCTGTGAAGGATTACAGAAAGAACCAGATTAACCTGCTGTGAAGATTAGAGAATATTCATCAAGACGTCCAGCATGTCCCTCTGAGACAAATGTCCAACATGTCCCTCTGAGACATATGTCCAACATGTCCCTCTGAGACAAATGTCCAACATGTCCCTCTGAGACATATGTCCAACATGTCCCTCTGAGACAAATGTCCAACATGTCCATCTGAGACAAATGTCCAACATGTCCATCTGAGACAAATGTCCAACATGTCCCTCTGAGACAAATGTCCAACATGTCCATCTGAGACAAATGTCCAACATGTCCCATCTCTAAGACAATCCAGTTTTGAATAAATCTCCAACAGTGTGACCAACAAAGCCCTGCCCCCCACCATCACACCTCCTCCTCCATGCTTCACAGTGGAAGCATGTAGAGTCCATCTGTTCACCTTTACTGTCACACAAAGACACGGTGGTTGGAACCAAAGACCTCTAATCTGGACTCATCAGACCAAAGCAGATTACCACTGGTCTGATGTCCACTGGTCTGATGTCCACTGGTCTGATGTCCACTGGTCTGATGTCCACTGGTCTAATGT